CAAACCGTTTGAATTTTACGGCGCAGTGCCTCTCGCTCCATCCGCGGCCACTCCGGCTCGCCGTTCTTTTCCACCCGCGGTGATTTCGTTGCCTCCCGTGCATTAATTCGGATGGACAGCGAACAGCCCTTGTGATTAATGTTGTATCGTGTGCATGGGCGTGTGGCCAAAATGTGTGGATACGTGTGCAATTTGTGTGTGTTTTTGTATGTGTGTGTTGTATGTGTGTTTGAAGGGTTTTGTGTGGTGTGTGTGTGTTGTGTGGAAAAGGGTTTTGTGTGTGTGTGTGTGTGGGAAGGTTGTGTGTGTGTTTGGAAGGGTTGTTGTGTTGTGTTTGAAGGGTTGTGTGTATTAAGTGTGTGTGTGAAGGGTTGTGGTGTGTTTTGGAGGGGAAGGTGAAATGTGTGCTGTGTGTGGGAAGGGGTTGGTGGTGTTTGGATGGGTTTTGTGTGTGTGTGTGTGTGGAAGGGTTGTGTGTGTGTGTGGAAGGGTTGTGTGTGTGTTTTGGAAGGTTGTGTGTGTGTATTGGAAAGGTTTGTCTGTGTGGTGTGGGTGCTTGTTTGTGTGTGTGTGGAAGGTTTATGTGTGTTAAGGGTGGGTTGTTGGTGGTGTGTGAGAGGTTGTGTGAGTGTGTATTTGGAAGGGTTGGTGCGTTGTGTGTATGTTTTTTTTTTTGTGTGTGTATAACTACGCGTATATTTTTGTATTTTTTCTTATCTTTTCTTATCTCTGCACTCTAAATATATACTTCTCTATTTCCACAAGGCCTTCGTGTGTTAGTCAGCGACAGATGATGTCATGGCGAGCTCGCGTGTCCTCTAAGCCTTAAACTCAACATTATTATTAAAGTAACGTGACAAGGCTCAGCGGAGAAGATATTCCCGGAAAAGATTCTTTTTCGATCGAGGAGGATTTTCGACGTCCTGATTTACATGTGTGTGTAATATATATATATATATATATATATATATATATATATATATATATAATATTATATATATATAATATATATATATATATATATATATATATATATTTTTTTTTTTTTTTTTTTTTTTTTTTTTTTTTTTTTTTTTTTTTTTTTTTCTCTCTCTCTTATTCTTTCTTTCTTTTTCGTTTTCATATTCCTTTTCCTTCGTTTCTTTCCTTTTTATTTTCATTCCTTCTTTCTTTCATCCATTCATTCTTTCTCTTTCCTCTCTCTCTTCTTTTTCATTTTCTCTCCTTATATCTTTCTTTCTTTTTTCATCCTCTCGTTCTTTCTTTCATTCTGTCTCCAGATCTCCATCGTTACTGAGCAACTTCTTTAATAAAGAATACCGTTAATAATGTTGCTCATTATGTGTTGATATTAAGCGGCCTTATTAGATCTGCAATCTATTCATATAACTTTGCCTAAGGGTTGTAGTTCCATTTCAGCGTCGGGAGAAAAAAATGCTATATATTACACGTTGGAAACTCCTTCGGCATCTCCTGTAATCCGGCAAGATTTTAATATACCCGACGGCTGGGTTTCAGTGAAGTTATGATAGAATGTATTATATCATTGTCGTGGGAATGCGATGTTCGTTTTCTATATTCATTTCTCTGTCCTTATATATATATATATATATATATATATATATATATATATATATATATATATATATATATATATATATATATATATATATATATATATAAATATTATATTATATATATATATATATATATATATATATATATATATATATATATATATATATATATATATATATATATATATATATATATATATATATATATATATATATATATATATATATATATATATATATATATATATATATATATATATATATATATTTATACTTGTAAGTTTACATGAGATTATGACAAAAAGATATTATTTACACTCACGCAACTCTGGAATTCGGAAATCCGGTGATAGCTGTCTTGTGGATGCCGGATTTCAGAGGTCGAGTAAGTGCGACATATTATAAATGTATGAAACTTTCCTCCTTTTCCGAAAAAAAAGTGCCAGCACTTGTAATTCTTTTATAAATTATTACGAATGCGGTTAATATTTTAAGCAAGAAGAAGGATATCTATGCATAAATGATTGACGTAGAACATGAGATTATGATAAAAAAGATAACATTATCTTACACTCATTTGTTTAGGGTAATTTAGTCACGCAACTCTGGAATTCGGAAATCCGGCGATAGCTGTCTTGTGGGTCCCGGATTTCGTAGGCTGAGTAAGTGCGACATATTAAAAATGTATGAAACTTTCCTCTTTTCCCGAAAAAGTGCCAATACTATAATTCCTTTATAAATTATTACGAATGCAGTTAATATTTAAATCAAGAAGAAGAATATTCATGCATCAATGTCTTGACTGACGTTAAACATGCGATATGACAAACTTCCTATGTGGTCGATGATCTAGATATTGCATCATGTATATTTCGATAAAAGTTCATTAGCTTTTTCTTTATCCCTCATTTTCAAATTATTAACTAGATGTCGATACCATTCACAG